GTGATCAAAAGAGCATCAATGTGTGGATGTCTAATAGACGTCAAGGTTTAGACATTAAATTGATTAACAGTTTTAATGTTGTTTTGTCATCAAGGTGCCTACTGGGTTATTATAATGTTCAGTTTATAACCCTAATAATCCTAATGATGATCATCATTCAGAATGTGTTCAATATATGTTCAATAAAGCAGTCCTTTTATGCCTCAGGTTTCTGTTTACTATTCGTTCATCATCATTTATGGTGGCCTATTAAAAGTGGCTGTTGGTTCTCTTTACATGCACACTTACTATCTGGCCACTTTGATCTGTCTATTTGTTATTATGTGAGAGGAAATTACTGTTCTAAAGCATTTACAGGCGTGATGCAATACACCACAAGAGCATGCGTTGGTTGTCAGTTTTAGGCCATATAGTATCCACTATGTGGACTACACAGTATGGTTGATTTTAGGTGTGAAAGTCCCACCCTGACTGAAAAATTCATGTAACAAATTTCTGGCTTTTTTTTGTGTGTGTGTCAGTGTTAAAAAATGTAATGTATTCAATATTTGATGTTTTTTTATGCTAATATTAGATGTCTATTTGATGCTGTTTTGACCTCAAACATGTCATTAGGAACTGAAACTTTCGAACGAACACAATATTTTTAATATTATACTTTCTGCGTGATTTTATTGGTGGTCAAAAGAGCATCAATGTGTGAACGTCTAATAAACGTCAAGGTTTTGACATTAAATTGATTTAAATTTTTGATGTTGTTCTGTCATCAACATTTTAGAGCTGCCTAATAATCCTAATAATGATCATCATTCAGAAATGTGTTTTGAAAACAAACAAACAAACAAAATCTACGTAATCAATATTTGATGTGTTTTTATGCTAATTTTAGATGTCAATTTGATGTTGTTTTGACCTTAAGGTAGTTTACATGCATCATATTGGTACAAAAACCAGTGTAAACATGTCATTAGAAATTAAAACTTTAGAACGAATAAAATATTTCTAATATTATAAAACTTTGTGTGTTTTTATTGGTGATCAAAAGAGCATCAATGAGTGGATGTCTAATAGACGTCAAGGTTTCAACATTAAATTAATTAACAATATTGATGTTGTTTTGTCATTAAGGTGCCTACTGGGTTATTATAAAGTTCAGTTTATAACCCTAATAATCCTAATGATGATCATTATTCAGAATGTGTTCAATATATGTTCAATAAAGCAGTCCTTTCATGCCTCAGGTTTCTGTTTACTATTCGTTCATCATCATTTATGGTGGCCTATTAAAAGTGACTGTTGGTTCTCTTTACATGCACACTTACTATCTGGCCACTTTGAACTGTCTATTTGTTATTTTGTGAGAGGAAATTACTGTCCTAAAGCATTTACAGACGTGATGCAATATATCACAGAGCATGCGTTGGTTGTCAGTTTTAGGCCATATAGTATCCACTATGTGGACTACACAGTATGGTTGATTTTAGGTGTGAAAGTCCCACCCTGACTGAAAAATTCATGTAACAAATTTCTGGCTTTTTTTGTGTGTGTGTCAGTGTTAAAAAATGTAATGTATTCAATATTTGATGTTTTTTTTATGCTAATATTAGATGTCTATTTGATGCTGTTTTGACCTCAAACATGTCATTAGGAACTGAAACTTTCGAACGAACACAATATTTTTAATATTATACTTTCTGCGTGATTTTATTGGTGGTCAAAAGAGCATCAATGTGTGAACGTCTAATAAACGTCAAGGTTTTGACATTAAATTGATTTAAATTTTTGATGTTGTTCTGTCATCAACATTTTAGAGCTGCCTAATAATCCTAATAATGATCATCATTCAGAAATGTGTTTTGAAAACAAACAAACAAAAAAAAATCTACGTAATCAATATTTGATGTGTTTTTATGCTAATTTTAGATGTCAATTTGATGTTGTTTTGACCTTAAGGTAGTTTACATGCATCATATTGGTACAAAAACCGGTGTAAACATGTCATTAGAAATTAAAACTTTAGAACGAATAAAATATTTCTAATATTATAAAACTTTGTGTGTTTTTATTGGTGGTCAAAAGAGCATCAATGAGTGGATGTCTAATAGACGTCAAGGTTTTGACATTAAATTGATTAACAATAATGATGTTGTTTTGTCATCAAGGTGCTGGGTTAATAATGTTCAGTTTATAACCCTAATAATCCTAATGATGATCATCATTCAGAATGTGTTCAATATATGTTAAGCAGTCCTTTTATGCCTCAGGTTTCTGTTTACTATTCGTTCATCATCATTTATGGTGGCCTATTAAAAGTGGCTGTTGGTTCTCTTTACATGCACACTTACAATCTGGCCACTTTGAACTGTCTATTTGTTATTATGTGAGAGGAAATTACTGTCCGAAAGCACTTACAGACGTGATGCAATACACCACAGAGCATGCACTGCTTGTCAGTTTTAGGCTATATAGTATCCACTATGTGGACTACACAGTTTGGTTGATTTTAGGTGTGAAAGTCCCACCCTTACTGAAAAATTCATGTAACAAATTTTTTGTGTGTGTGTGTCAGTGTTAAAAAAATGTAATGTATTCAATATTTGATGTGTTTTTGATGCTAATATTAGATGTCAATTTGATGTCGTTTTGACCACAAGGTAGTTTACATGCATCATATTGATACTAAAACCGGTGTAAACATGTCATTAGTAGGCCTACACGGAATCTGCGCGCGCAGAATTCCGCAGATTTTATTCCATTTTTATTCAGTAATTTATTACTTTTTATTTCATATATTAAGGTTTTAGTTATGATACTCCACTGGATACTCCCAAAATAATTTCGCAGAAATCCGCAGATTTTTATCAAAATTCTCAGCAGAAATAGCAAAAAACGTCCGCAGATTCCGTCTGGCCCTGATCATTAGGAACTGAAACTTTCGAACGAATACAATATTTTTTTAATATTATGCTTTCTGTGTGATTTTATTGTTGGTGAAAAGAGCATCAATGTGTGGATGTCTAATAGACGTCATGGTTTTGACATTAAATTGATTAAAATTTTTGATGTTGTTCTGTCATCAACATTTTAGAGCTGCCTAATAATCCTAATAATGATCATCATTCAGAAATGTGTTTTGAAAAAAAAATCAACATAATCAATATTTGATGTGTTTTTGATGTCAATTTTAGATGTGGTTTTGACCTCAAGGTAGTTTACATGCATTATATTGGTACAAAAACCAGTGTAAACATCTCATTAGAAATTAAAACTTTCGAACGAATACAATATTTCTAATATTATAAAACTTTGTGTGTTTTTAAATGGTGGTGAAAAGAGCATCAATGTGTGGATGTCTAATAGACGTCAAGCTTTAGACATTAAATTGATTAACAATATTGATGTTTTTGTCATAAAAGTGCCCACTGGGTTATTACAATACTCAGTTTATAAACCTAATAATCCTAATGATGATCATTATTCAGAATGTGTTCAATATATGTTCAATAAAGCAGTCCTTTTATGCCTCAGGTTTCTGTTTACTATTCGTTCATCATCATTTATGGTGGCCTATTAAAAGTGACTCTTGATCTCGAGTTGTTGGTTCTCTTTACATGTGCACTAACTAGTTGGCCACTTTGATCTGTCACTTTTTAGGATGTGAGAGGAAATTACTGTCCTAAAGCACTTACAGGCGTGATGGAATACATCACAGAGCATGCGTTGGTTGTCAGTTTTAGGCCATATAGTATCCACTATGTGGACTACACAGTATGGTTGATTTTAGGTGTGAAAGTCCCACCCTGACTGAAAAATTAATGTAACAGATTTCTGAATTTTTTTTGTGTGTGTGTCAGTGTTAAAAAAATTCCTGTAATCAATATTTGATGTGTTTTTGATGCTAATTTTAAATGTCATTTTGACCTCAAGGTAGTTTACATGCATCATATTGATACTAAAACCGGTGTAAACATGTCATTAGGAACTGAAACTTTCGAACGAATACAATATTTTTTAATATTATACTTTCTGTGTGATTTTATTGGTGTTCAAAAGAGAATTAATGTGTGGATGTCTAATAGACATCAAGGTTTTGACATTAAATTGATTACATTTTTTGATGTTTTTCTGTCATCAAGATTTGAGAGCCACTTAATAATCCTAATAATGATCATCATTCAGAAATGTGTTTTGAAAACAAACAAACAAAAAATAAATAAATCTACGTAATCAATATTTTATGTATTTTTATGCTAATTTTAGATGTCAATTTGATGTTGTTTTGACCTTAAGGAAGTTTACATGCATTATATTGGTACAAAAACCAGTGTAAACATGTCATTAGAAATTAAAACTTTAGAACGAATAAAATATTTCTAATATTATAAAACTTTCTGTGTATTTTTAATGGTGGTGAAAAGAGTATCAATATGTGGATGTCTAATAGACGTCAAGGTTTTGACATTAAATTGATTAACAATATTGATGTTTTTATCATAAAAGTGCCTACTGCGTTATTATGATACTCAGTTTATAAACATAAAAATCCTAATGATGATCATAATTCAGAATGTGTTCAATATATGTTTAATAAAGCAGTCCTTTTACGCTTCAGGTTTCTGTTTACTATTCATTCATCATCATTTAGGGTGGCCTATTAAAAGTGACTCTTGATCTCGAGATGTTGGTCCCCTTTAAATGTGCACTAACTAGTCGGCCACTTTGATCTGTCACTTTAGCATGTGAGAGGAAATGGATGTCCTAAAGCACTTATGATGCAATATATCATGGAGCTTGCGCAAGTTGTCCATATATTTGCTGTATTATGTACAATGACACTATATGAGCTACACAGTTTGCTTATTATTGGGTGTGATATTAGGTGTGAAGTCCCAACCTGATTGAAAAATCGATGTAACCTTTTTTTTTTTTTAATGTTTGTTATTTTATTTTTACAGCAATTTTAGATGTGAACTTGATGTTGTTTTGACATCAAGATAGTTTACATGCATTGAATAATACAACTTTTCTAATACTATATTGATTTTCAGTCAGTTTAGAGGCTGTATATTGAAGAATGACACTTTTGTGGACAGCACAATTTGCTTGCTATCGAGTTTAAAAGTCCCACCCTGATTGCGACAGTCTGTAAGAACAAGAAACGGTCACTGAAGTTATGAAAACAACCTGCTTCATGTGGAAACCAATGAACGGCACACACTGTATCATTATCAGTTTGAACACAGGACATGGATTCCTCATCTAAATACCTCGAGTGATTGTAAACAAGGGTCCGAGCAAAAATGGGGAGATTGGGAGCAAAACGCAAGAGAACAAAAGCAATAAACCAACTAGTCTCAGCAATGTCCTTCAGTGCATGTTAGTGCTTTGTTCTTTCCTGTCTGGAGCAATTGGTTTCTCAAGTTGCTCTTAAGAGGAAGCGATGACGTTTAAAAAAAAAAAAAAAAAGCCCCACTACTTAAATGATTTAATGATAAAGACGTCTCACATACTGTGTAGATCTGATTGCAATACTGTTACTGTCACGCTGACGTTTCTCAGCTACAATATCTGCAAGGAGGTCCATGAGATTACACAAGGTAGGGTGCTGTTTACTGTTTAAATGCTAAACTATAATTACTTAAAAATGTACAAATGTCAGAAGGTGTCTGAAATGTTTGGGTTTACTATTGTTAGGTTAGTTTAAAACCACAAAACGGATATTTTGTCTGGAGATTAAAAAGATGGTTAACCCATACCTCACAAGTTACCCCCTCTCTCATGTGGTTTTAAACAGTTACGTTTATTTCTTCTGTTGAATACACAAGAAGACACTTGATGACTTCCTTAGTAGGAAAAACAAATACTATAGAAGTGAATGAGTGCCAGCATTCTTCAACATATTGTCTTTTGTGTTCAACCGAGGAAGGAAACTCTAATAGATTTGTGAAAGAGTGAAGAGTAAGTAAATGATGGCAGAGATTTATTTATGGGTGAACTTTCCTTGTAAAGTAAAGTAGAGGTGGTTTCAGTACTTTATACCAGGGCTATTCAATTAGTTTGTCATGGGGCCAGTTGATGAAAAGCATCCCAAATGAGGAGCCGGAGAGATATGACTCGCAATATAAGTGATGACACAACAGCAAAATAAGAGCGCATGTGTTGTATTTTTGCTCCTAAACACACCCACGTCAGCTTGTTCTACATTAAAACGTGAATATGTTGTACTTTGTAACTAGATAATATCAGATTAGGCTTTATTTTACAAACATTTTCAAATGTTGTATTTCAACGCACAACAAAAGCAGTGCATTGCTCATGTAGGCTTCTTCTACATTCAGACACGTCATACGTTATGTTTAAACTGCTTTACAATTAGGGATGCAGCGATTATAGATTTTGGTTGTATGATTATATAGTCTGAAGAATAATCATGGTTTCACAGTAGTGATGGGAAGTTCGGATCATTTTACTGACTCGGATCTTTGAGTCTCCTTCATCAAGATGAACGAATCTTTTTTCGAGTCATTTCGTTCATTTGGTTCAATTTGCTAAAATGTTATTAAAATGTTACGAATTGCTTCCAAACACATCTACAACTAGCCCAAAAGGTTGATCACACGACAAATAAGTCATGAATAGAATACTATAAGAAGGAGAAAATAACAATTCAGTGTTTACCTGCTCTTTTGTCTATGAAGGTATTGTTATCTCTTTGCTCAGCTCACCTCTTCATGCCTTCAAATGTCAGGGGTTCATTCACGTTACACTGACAGTCACATATAATTTTAATCAATGCACAGTCTAAGCCGATAGGAGCCATGATCGTTCGTTCATCATGTGACAGAATGACTCAAACCCGAGGACTCGAGAGATGAACGGTTTCCGGCTCTAAACGCATATGATTGGCCCGTGATGAACGAGTGACTAAGGGTGCTTTCACTCCTGTGAATCAATTCAGTTTTTCCGAAACAGAGATTACAATTGTTACATTGTTGCTCTTTCCTCTTGGAGCGGTTCGCTTTCACACTGCAAAGTTTCTAATCGGACCAAAAGAGCTAAAACAAGTCACGTGCGAGTAAACTCTCCTTACATTGGTCAGAGTGTCAGGGTTTATTTTGCAGCGTCCCGCTAAGCTGTCAGGAGAGGTGGTGGTTTAGTGGTGATTGACAGGGTGCGTGCGCGACGAGTCTGAGGAGAGATGCAGTGAGGAGGGGTGAGAAGGGTGCACGACGATGCCTATTTGAGGATCGGGAGGGAGACGCGAGATTACCGGAAGATTATTACTCGTTTGCGGGCATCCAGAGACTCGCGAAACTTCCCGCCCTACTCATAATTCTCTCTTCATATAGCTGTAAGCCTATTACATATCCATAAAACACTGTGATATAACCGTGCTTGGATCGGATCGCTTTCTCACTGCAATCGAACTGCTCCAGGGTTCGTTTCAATCGAGCCGAGACCACCTCATTCAAGCGATCTCGAAGCGATTACTTTGGCGCGGAACAGAGCGCGATTGCCCAGTTCACATATGCCAAACCAACCGCGCTAACAGGGCAAACGAGATACGTTCCGAAACAAAAGTGTAGGTGTGAAAGCACCCTAAGACCCGATAGAGGACTCGAGAGGTGAGCGGAACAATTCTTTTTCCGGCTCTAAACGCATATGATTGGCTTCTGCTAATGTGATGAAGACTTGAAATTAATGATACTACCTGCACAAATGTGCGCACGTGCGGATGAACGAATCACTCCCTGAGAGGACTCGTAGTTCCCGAGTCATATTGAAGATTCGTTCAAAATGAACGAATCGTTCATGAATAACCCATCACTATTTCACTGATATCACTATTAGTATGCATTTCAAAACAATTCAAAATACTACTAATGTAGAAAATAACAAGAAAACTGCTTATAATTTAAAGTTTTGTTTATTGCTGCTCAGTAACCAAACACAGCACAAAATATTGATATAACACAAACAATAGTATATTTCTCTATTTGTACTTGAAAAAAAAAGTTTTTGATTTAAACATGAGTGATAATTTTACAATGAAAATAAATGAATAAATACAAACAAATAAAAATCATATTGTTAATTCTAAGCTGTATATTAGCTAAGTATTTAATTGGACTGTTGTTATTATCTGCGTTCATATATACATAATCATTTTAATCATTTGTAATAATTCGTCTGATATATCTTTGTTTACATTGCACTGAAAGCCACGCACAACTCTCAGCACTACAGTGTGAGGTAATTTTAACTGTGTGTGCCTGGAGGGTGCGAGCGCATCAGCTCGCTTGCAAGCCACGTGAGCACCGCTCCCAATATGCGCACGTCTCCATTGGAAAAATAAACTTGTGTGCGGAAAAGATGCTATTGTTATGCTATAATGCTATAGTTAACCCAACGGGTGTGCATATTAGCATTACTTTATTTGGTTGCAGCAGTTTTGTTCTGCGCAACAGTAACGTGGTATTGAGAAGCCATTAGGATTAATTAACCGTATTGAATTAAAGCGGGGTTAATTGTGAAATCGGCTAATCGTTGCATCCCTAATACCAATATCAGTTTATTGTACAAAAGGCCTTTTCTACAAACACATCCAAATGTTTTCGGCTGCTCGCACCACTCACTTAATGTCAGGTGACTCACTCTCTGTGCAGCCTTCAACTGAAGCTTGTGCCGTATTGAAGTGACGCACGTCACTTCATTACTATAGCGGATGTTTTTCTTTCTTTAACATTTATTTAGCTTTTTTGCCTTTTTTAGATAGGAATGTATTTAGACAAAAAAAAAGTTAGAGGGGGGGGGGTGGTTAGGGAAATGTCCTCGAGCTGGGATTCGAACAGGGGACACATTGCAATTTATTGTGATGTTTTGAATGACAAAAATAAAGGAAACTAAACTGAATTGGGTTTAGGGAAGTGGGTGGACGTTGGTCAATAGGTGTTTTTCAAAACACACTTGGTTGGGTTTAGGGAAGGAGGAGGGTGGGTCAGTCGATCAGTCAGTCAGTCAATCAGTCGACAGCGCGCTCTGGTGGATTTATGTGAGAACAGCAGGCGTGAATAGCACTTGTGAGAGAAATCTGAGATCTGAAAAAGCGTAAACAGCACCCTCTGATGTATTAACGAAATCAAAACAATCGGAAAAAAAATAAATAAAAATGTACCTCCTGGGATGTATTTCACAATCTCCAGAGATGTAAATAGCGGTACGTTTTCAGAATGAGCCTGAGTTGGAACTGACTCTTTGACATCAAGTACAAACAATAAAAGATCGTGATCAAACTTTACAAACACGGTTTAATTAGTTAATGCATTTACTTACATTAATTAAGTATAAACGATACTTGAACAGCATTTATTGATCAAAGTACAACATGTACTAATGCATTAAAATCAAAATGCATGCTTGGTAACATTAGTTAATGCACTTTGAGGTAACATCGAATATCAATGAGCAACTGTATTTTCATTAACATAAGCAAATACATGAGGTTCATGTCAGTAAATGCAATGTCTAGCATTAGCTAACACAATCTTATTGTAAAGTATTACCAATATTGCTTTAGTTACACACAGATTTGTAGATTGTGTCAAAGGAGCTTTAAATAAACGAAGAAAAACGTTGTATGTTGTGTGCGTTTTCTATTCTAAGCATTACTTTTTATGTTCATGGGAACTCTCGGCAAAAATTACACAAGGATATGTGTCATCAGTGGGCATGTGGGTATTGTTTTGCTGTGAGATTTTGTTTCTGAATATATCTGATTTAATCACATTTCTTGCTTGTGCATTTTTTAAAGAGCATGTCAAGATTGTAAATTGCTACACAAACGGAGCATTTTAACAGTTGCAAGCACACATTAAATGTGTCAAAAGCGTGGTTAACACATCCTTTCAGCAGGAAACCCTTCAGACTCCAGAATAATAGCATTGCAAAAGGGTTAAACGACAAAGTAAAAATGATATGGCAGACAATATGGTGCTTTTTATCAGATTATCAGGTTTCAACAACGACTGTTTTATTGATCCAAGTTATGATGAAAAGCTCATTTGATTTAACAAAAATGTTTGAGGCAGCAAGGGGAAAACTTT